AGCACAATTCTCGACGGCCAGGGTCAAGCAATCACCTCCTTCTCCTTGCCAGGCCCCCCCCCCCCCCGTGAGTGAGGGTCCGCGAGGGCGGCGCCGAGCAGAGCTCGAGACAGGCCGCCGCCAGACAGATGCCTCGGGTCCCTCCCTGACCCGCCCCTGGGCAAGCAAACGGCAACAAGAGACTCCTCCTCCCCCTCCCCCTCCCCGTCCCCCTCCCCGTCCCCCTCCCCCTCCCCCTCCCCCGTCCCCGTCCCCGTCCCCGTCCCCGTGCCCCCTCCCCCTCCCCTCCCCCTCCCCTCCCCCTCCTCCTCCCCCTCCCCCTCCCCCTCCCCTCCCCCTCCCCCTCCCCCTCCCCTCCCCTCCTCCTCCCTCCTCCTCCTCCTCCTCCTCCTCCTCTCCTCCTCCTCCTCCTCCTCCTCTCCTCCTCCTCCTCCTCCTCCTCCTCCTCCCACCTCTCTTCCTCCCACTGCACGTTCTGATCTGTCGTTTTCTTCCGTCCTCCCATAGCTAAGTTCGAAAACATACATTGCATGCGTAGAGAATGCGCACCACTTCCTCTTATCGTAGTGGGCGCACGCTCAAGTTCGTCAGTTTCCATGGAATCGAATTCGTAACTACCTTACCCTGCTTTCGCGCCAACACTTTTCGACTAATTTCGAAATCTTATCCGCGAGCTCTTTTCGATATCTTTACCTCTTTACCCATTACTTTATTCAATCGCTTCGCTCTTTCTGCCCGCCCATCTTGCCTCGCCGCTTGGGGTCCGTGTTGGGGCCTCTTGGGGGCTTCTGGGAGGCAATTTTGAAACCTCTTGGGGGCCGTGTTGGGGCCTTTGGGAGCCTTTTGGGGCCTCTTGGGGCTTCTTGGGGTGCCTCTCGGGGCCTCTTGGGGGCCTCTTGGGGCCTCTTGGCGCTGAAGGGTGGACTTGTCAGTTCCTGGTCCCCGTCTTGGGCCTCTCTTGGGGCCGTTTTGGGGCCCTCTTGGGCCATCTTGGGTGCCTCTTGGGCTGTCTTGGGGCCATCTTGGGCCGTCTTGGGGCGGTCTTGGGGGCCTCTTGGGCCGTCTTGGAGCGTTGGAAAACCGAACAGACGAGAAACGACGCAGATGCGAAAAATGCACGTTTTCCGAAAGCGATGTTTGCTTGGTGGGGCCATCTTGGAGAGCCTCTTGAGGCTCTCTTGAAGCTTTTTCGCGGCCTCTAGAGTCATATGGGGACTATCTTGAGCGTATTGGAACGATCTTTCGGCGACTCGGGGCCTCTTGGGCCGTGTAGGGGGGCGTCTCGGCGCCCTTTTGGCGCGCTGAGGCGCCCCGGGGGAGTTGGCCAGGCATCGGCCGGCCATCGCCCGGGGTACTTTCGTCCAGGGGTCCCCAGGGGCCGCCACGCGTGCGCGAACTAGAAATATTGTCAACCTGTTACCGGAGATCTTAGCAAGCCTCTGGCCCGTTGGGCCGGCGAATTATGAAGACAATAAGACTCTGCAGGGGCATCGGCTGGCATAAGACGAGGACGACGACGACGAGGACGACGAGGACGACGACGACCAACGCGACAACTTTGGACGCCCGAGATGGGTACGGAAAAAATGGGTACAATGCTCAACAGCAAATGTTGTCCCAAACCAACAGTGGCCGAATTGAACAAGAACTGCTGTTGGGCATTGTACCCTTTCTTTCCGTACCCATTTCGCTCGTGCCGAACAAGGCGACGGCAGCCGCCGGCATCAGACGATGACGACGAGGACGAGGACGAGGACGAGGACGACGACGAGGACGACGAGGACGACGACGAGGACGACGACGGCGACGACGAGGACGACGAGAACGACAACGCGACGGCAGCCGGCGAGGGGCGCCTCCGCGGGCGACGGCGAGGGGCGGCCCCAGGGCGTCGAGGGCGCCTCCGCGTCACCCGTGGCGGCCCACGAAGAGGTCGAGGGGCTGGCCGCGGCAAAAGTTGAGGGGCTGAGTGAGGGGGGTCGAGGGGCTGAGTTAGGAGAACGAAGAATGACATACATCGGAGATGGACAGACCCCCCTTTAGCACAACGTGGTTTAGTGAAAACGACCTGAGGCCCAAACCTGGCGGGCGCAAACCTGGAAAATGACGGCCACGGCGCCCTCTCGAGAACCGAAAACGGACAATTCACTAATCGACGTGTCACTGTTGGGGGTTCTGTCCAGCCCCGAATAAACATAAGAGAACGAAGAAGAAACTCGGACGTCCGCGGCGGATTTCTCGGATCTGCGCTGACCCCCCTGGCGGCGCCTCCGGCGCCGCCCCTGGCGCGCTCCTCGCGCCAGGGAGGGGGGGAAGACGAACCGAGGAAGATGATGACATCGGATGAATACAACTCGAGGATATCTGAGGTCCGGCGGCTCTCAAGAATGTCAGGAGCAGCGCCAGGGGGAACTGGCATAGGGGGGGGGACATCGACCTGGAATTAGGTCGGGCCTGCCCCCCTACAGGGGGATTTTGGACGAAAAATTAGAAATAGTCAACAAATATTCCCAAAATGCTCAAAAATGCTAAAAACAAATCCTCCCCAGATGGACTAATTTCGAATTTTCTCTCTGTAGGGGGACAGGCCTGACTTAAACCTGGAATCGGCGATACCTCACCGATGAATCGGCGATAGGCCCCCGATAGATCGGTGATGGGCCGCCGAGGGGCCGAGGGGGAAGGGCGGCCGCGGCAGGCGCCGAGCATCGCTCGAGACGGCTGCGAGGCGCGAGGCAACTCCGCAAGGTCTGAGCGAGGCGCCGACCCAAAGCACATGGTGCCCAAAATGCGTGGCACCCCAGGCCACAAGGCTCCCTGTCTGTCTCTGCTACGACTCCCTCGGCCCACATGGGGAACATCTCCTTCGCAATCTCCTGCTCCCTTCCACCTTAATCCCCCTCCTCCTCCTCCTCCTCCTCCTCCTCCTCCGCCTCCTCGTATTCGTCGTCGTTGTCTTCAGGGTCGGAGGCACCGGCCGTAAGGCCTTAGCAATACGTGGCACCCCTGGGACGAGGTCTGGACGAGGATGCCATCGGGCCAGGGCGCATCGAGAATCTCTGAGATCCCGCGGCTCTGGACCGGGTGTTGCTAGAAGTGCCCCAGGCCCAACGCGCCCCCGGGATGTCCAAGGAGGCCCCTACGGCCTCCAGAGGACCCCTCACGAGGCCCAGGGGGCCCCCAGGGGCCCTGAAATGGAGCGAAAAGGTGCGGGGGCCTTGGGCCACCCCCGACCGGAGGAGATCTTGGGCGCCGCGGCCTCCTCGGAGCGCTCCGGAGCGCTCGGGGAGCGCTCCGAAAAGCTCTCTTTGCACTGGAGTCTTCCTCGTCCCGGCCCCGTCCAGAGCGGGCCGTCGGCGGGAACTGGCCCCGGGGGGCACGCATCGAGCTGGCCATCGCTCGGACGTCCATTCCCTGTGTTTTTTTCGGTCTCGTGCGTGGCTTTTCTTCGCCAAGTGGTCGAGGATTCTCCTCGATGGTCCTCGCCGGAGGAAAAATGCACACGTCCGAGCGATGCCAAGCGAGCCGACATCGGCGACGCAGCGCTCGCAGATCGGCGACGGGCCCCCGAGAGCGAATCCTCGCACGCTCCCATGGGAGGGGGGGCGGGCTGCCGGGGCCCCCCCCTCGACAGTAGGAGTGGGCGACCGGGGGGCCAGTGCGGTTCTCGCGGGGGAGGGCGAGAGAGGGGGATGGCAACCCTGACCTTCCAGGGGGGCTAAAACATAGCACGCGACTTCGAAACCTATCCCAGAGCTGTTCGATGTCTTGGTTTTGGGCTGTTTCGCTCCGTTTTCTAGGTTTCTTAGGCCTCCCGTGCTAGAAAATAGCTCTCTGGAAGGTCAGGGGAGAGGGGGATGGCAGAGGGCAGGGAAGCGAAGCAGCTCACGCAGCTGATGTTCCCAGCGCCTCCCGGCGCCGGGAGGCGCCCAGGTGTCGAGGGATGGGCCGGGCGGCGGGGCCGAAACCAGCTGCACGCAGCAGGTTTCGTAACCCCCTTTTCCCTATCACCCCCTTTGGTTCGGCCCGAGGTTCCTCCACGAGCCATCCCTTCCTGTCGGAGGCCCGAAATACGGCCGGGCCTGGGACAGAAGAACATCCTTCAAGACTGTGAGACCCTCCGCCGGCCAAAAGACACAGAGCATTCGAGGGCGCCCCCCATAGATTCAATCTTTTCTCGATGTTCGTCTTCCCCCCCCACTTCCCAGATGCTCCCATATTTTCTGGGGAATCGACGTTTATTTGTGTCTGTGTGTTTCCCCTCCTGAAGAGAAACATGTTCCAAGGAAGGGGCCGAGATGTCTGGGTCCCCGATGCCAGCATCACCTTCGCGAGGAGCTGGGGAGGGTCCTACCGGTGGTGTGGTGCCCCTGTTTTGGGGCGCCCCGCTCGAGACATCTTCAATCGTAAGCTCGGCGCAGCATCGTGGAACTCCTCGAAGGGGGTGGCCATGCTGGTGGTGGTGGTGATGGTGGTGGTGGTGGTGGTGGTGGTGGTGATGGTGGTGGTGGTGGTGTCGCTTCTCCTCTCTCCGAAAGGATAGCTCGGAGGCAGAGGCAGAGACAATCCCATGGTAGGGCACACGGGTGCAACAACACGAGTGCGCTCAGACATTTGACTCCGACCTTGTCCACACTCACCCGTCCCAGGGCTGGCGTTCGGCATCAAGCATAAAACAATGACGCGTGCCACAGCTCGTGAAAGCGAAGCACCGCCGTCACGCTTGAACGGTGAGTGTTCAACGCGATTACAAGTAACAATGTACCTGCAGATCGATTGATTCCAATGGCGACGACTCTGCGGACCACGGCGAAAAACACAAAGACCACAACTGCATTACTCATCATGGTGTATAGGTACAACGTTGTGAGCCATTCACTCCAAGGGGCACTAAACGTTGCACGACAAATATGGGCAACGGGCCAGACACGACGGCCCCAAACGGACAAACCGCTGCCTAGACCCGAACACGCACTTTGACCAGGGACGACCGTGGACCTCATCACTCCGCAGCCCTCGCCAAGCACTCTGGGGTTGAAGGGCGGGTGCCCACCTGGCCAAACACGGCGGACGGAGCTGTGATATCAACGAGGTGTGATGAGCGTGGGGTGCCCAGGTTTGGAGACGACGAGCACGCGAAGAGTCGTGCGTCGCCCGCGGGAGGGAATGCACGGCGAGGGGCGGGGGGCCCCTGTGGGAGCCCCCCAGGGCCCTCTTGAGCCTGGAGCGGGGCGATCTGGAGGCCGTTGGGGGCCCCGAGCCCGCAGGACACGCCTCCAGGGCCGCCGATGGTCCACGTCTTCGGCGAGGCTCCTCGGCGAAGGCGCGGAACGCCCGCCCCTGGACGAGCCCTCGTCGCCGCCGAAGTCGGCGACGACTGCGCGTCGCCCACAGCCCAGGCCTTCCACAGGGCCCGCCGAGCCCACGGCGGTCGCGTCGACGCGCGGAGGGCGCGGGGAAAACAGAAAGGGTGCCCGTGCCGCCCTGCCCTGGACCTCTCCCGGGGCGCGTCCCGACCAGGGCTTCGGGGCGAAGCCAGCGGTAGCGACGAGGACCACCAGGTCCGAGGGGGAGAACGTGCGGGAAGGGTGCAGTGCGGGCGCGGCCGCAAGCAACCCTCGCAAGAAGCCCAACCCTGAAAACCCGCGCGCGAGGTTCACCTGAGGGGAAACCCAGGGCACCCTCAGCGCAGCAGCTTCTTAACGGCCGCGGGAAGTCACCGCGCAGCGCGCGGATCGAAGAAACCCAGGATACCCTGGCGAAACGCAATTGAGCGACGATCAGAAACGGGTCTTGCGCGAGATGACGTAGCGACCTCACGCGGCGGGCTTACGCGGGCCGCCAGCGCGGCACGCTGCAATGAAGAGGGCGCTTGCGCGCGACCTTACGCGAGCAGCTTACGCGCCAATGTTGCGGGACAGGAAAATGACCACAGCCACTGCTTCTTGTTTGCGCCGCCTTCCAGCCGGCCGAGACAAAAAGCAGTGGATTTGGTCACTTCCCGGGTGCCAAGCTCAACGACAACGACCACGACCACTGCCTTGTCTCTGCGGGCTGGAAGGCGGCAACAAAAGAAAGGCAGTGGCTGTGGTCGTTTTCACGCCCCGTACATGTCGGAGCAGAAAAAAAAAACAGTTCACGCTGAGATATTTAGGTTTCCTGTCGAGAAGGTGGGCGAGAGCAAAAGATCACGTTGTTGTTGGCGTCGCCCACTTGGCTTCTTGATGCGCGGCGCCGCTGCAGCGGCATAGGGGCACCCTGAGCCCTCCCCTGCGGGGCCGGGCCCCGCCTGAGCCGGCTCGCGCCCGAACGCTCCACCTGCCGAGCGAATAACATACGCACGGAGACACACACACACACACGCACGCACACACACACACACACACACACACACACACACACACACGCACACACACACACGCGCACACACACACACGCACACGCACACGCACACACACGCACACACACGCGCGCACACACACGCACACACGCACACCCCCACAACCCCACACCCACAAACCCACACACCCACACACCCACACACCCACACACCCAGACGCACAGACGCACACACACACACACGCACGCACGCACACGCACGCACACACGCACACACGCACACACGCACACACGCACACACGCACACACGCACACACGCACACACGCACACACGCACACACGCACACACACACACACACACACCCATACCCACTGGGCGGTCGGAGGGGGCTGCGGGTGCGTGCTGCTGGAGGGGGGCCCCCGCTCGAACGGGAGCGCCCCCCCGTGGTCCGACAACCCGCACCGACAACCCGCATCCATACCCGTAGCTAGCCTTCGGTCGGGCATGTCTTCCTGTAGGCGGATATAATTAAAAAAAAACCCAACAAAAATCAAGAATGGCCAACCTTAGTCGGGAAAAACTCGTGCCCGTACTATTTCTCTAGCTGTTTTTGAACTTGCCTCCTGTGGACAGGGCCCGGCTTAAGTCTGGGCGTGTGCTGTTCGCTCGTCGCCACCGCGGCCAGCAGCTCCCGGAGCTCGGCGGCCTCGGCCGCCCCCGCCCGCGCCGCGGCCTGCGGCGGGGCGTTCGCGGCGCCCCCGCCCCTGCCCGCGCCCCTGCCGCGCCCCTGCCTCGCCCCGCAGTAGCACGCGCCACCACGAGGCCCAGCCGAGCGGCAGGTCGGGCATGTCCTCCTACAGGCGGATTTGTTGGAAGAGGAACAGACCATAGCTAAGAGACCCCCCAAAATGGCCACAAGTAGTAGAAACATCGTCCCCAGACTGTTTTTGGACTAGTGCTTGATATTCCTCCTGTAGAAGGGACGTGCCCGACTTCAGAAGAGTCGGCGGCGCCCTCTCGGGGCGGGGAAGTGAGAGCCCAGAACCCCCCCCCTCGGGAAAGGACGAGACCGCGACGGGGAAGGTTTCGCGCTGTTGGGCCCGTGGGAGCCCTCACCGGGCCCCCGGGACCGCCAACAAAACATCAGGATGAGAGGCCAGCCCCGGGAGATGGGTCGAAACCTCCGGGGGTCGACGCCACAAAAAAACACGGAACGGGGGAGAATTCGGGGAGACTCTCCCGCCGTCGGGGGCGCCCGGCCCCCCGGGCGGCTGCAAAGTTGATGCCCCCATGTGGTGCCGCGCAGGGGCTCCAACTCTCCAGCTGCCCGGGGGGCAGGCGTCCCCGACGGCGGACAAATTGCTTTGAAGCCGTTTTGCGCGGAGGCGGCGTGGCTTCCGAGGAGGCAGGGGGGGCTTCTGAGAGGCCCGCCTGGCTTCGAGGAAGCTTTCTAAGAGAGATTCTAAGAGGTATATGGGGCCTTCCCCCAGGGCCTTCTGAGAAGGCCCCTGCCTTCTAAGCAGCCCCCCGCCTTCTGAGAAGCCCACCCGACGGCATCGGCGAGGTCGTCGCTTTAAGTGCTCGCTGAGGCTGTTCGAGAGGTTCTTGCTGCAACGGCCTGGACGCAGCCCCGAAGACGTGCGGGGATGAGCCGCGGAGGAAGGTCCTCGGCGATGTCTCTCCTGGTGGCCCGAGGACTGCGCCGAGACCCCCTGGGGCACCCCCACGAGAGGGTACAGACCTGTGGTGAGATCCGACGCGTCGAGCACCCACTTGCAGGCAAGAGGGGTCGGCGGTTCTGGTGGTCGTGGGGCCCCTCTGGCGACCGTGCCTGGGTCACAGGTCGGCGGCGAGCGATGGGGGGAAACGAGCAGGAGAAGGGCTTCTGAGAGGGCGGCGGGACTTCTCAGAAGCCCTCGCGCCCTCTCAGAAGTTGTTTCTGTCTTCGGGGAAGATTTTTCTGTCTTCGGAGAGGGCCTTCTCAGAAGACGGCGGGGCTTCTCAGAGGCCCTCGCGCCCTCCGATCCGCGTGCTGCGTCTTCGGAGAAGGCTTAGAAAGGACTTCTCCGAAGGCCGGAGGCCCTCCGAGCCTTCCGAGCAGGTCCGCCCCTTCTCACGTCCCCCCTGGGCGCGCCGCCGAGAGACGGAGCGGGCCTTGCGCGAGATAGCATACAGTCAGAACGCAGAATGAGGATGTCCAAGAGGGATCCACAGTGAGGATGCACAACGAGGAAGACCACGCCTACACCTTTCGAGAGGGGCGGGGCCAGCGAAAGTGTTACACTGCCCCCCTGGGGGGAGAACGCTTACGGCCAAAGTCGAGTGCGGTGGCTTCACTGGCCAGCGGCTCAATCCTCGACCCCCGTCAACCGAAGGGGAAAGCAGCCGCCTCCTCCTCCGCCTCGAGGCCTGGCTCTGGAGGCGCCCCTCGCGCCTCCTGGGCCCGACCCCGAGATCCTTGGGACGGGCCGAAGGGGCCTCACCCCGACATCCTTGGGGGGTGGGCCTGACCCCGAGATCCTGGGCCTGACCCCGAAATCCTTGGGACGGGCCTGACCCCGAAATCCTGGGCCCGACCCCGAAATCCTTGGGATGGGCCTGACCCCGAAATCCAAGGTAGAGGGGGAGGAGGAGGAGGAGGAGGAGGAGGGGGAGGGGGAGGGGGAGGAGGGGGGAGGGGGAGGGGGGAGGAGGAGGAGATGAGAGGAGGAGGAGGAGGGAGAGGAGGAGGAGGAGGAGGGAGGAGGAGGAAGGGGAGGAAGGAGGAGGAACCCCTTTTTTTTTGGTAGCCTCGGAGAAATCGCTCGTCCCTGCTATCCGTGTACTGGCTGCAGCGACCAAAAACCAAACAAAAAACACAGAAAAAAAAAAATAAAAAGAAAAGCAAAAGACACTGCAAAAAGCGACCTCGCGCGGGGGCCTGCGCAGGCCGCCGGCGCGGCACGCCACGGTGGAGACGAGGGCGCGCGTGCGCGACCTCACGCGGAGAGCCCGCACGCCGGGTGTCGGCGCAGTCGGCCCCGTCGTCGTTCGGCGCTCGAGCAGAGCAGCAGAGGCAGACCTGAGCACGGCTCCGAGCCGACCAACGAAAGAGAGAGAGAGAGAGAGCAAGCAAACAAAAAGAGAGGGAGAGAGGAAGAGGAGGAGAAGGAGGCGGAGGAGGAGGAGGAGGAGGAGGAGGAGGAGGAGGAGGAGGAGAGAGAGAGAGAGAGACAGAATGGGCAAGGACGAGCAGAGAAACCTTCCCTGCCCCTGGTCCACCTCATCGTCCCCCTGGCCCCCTCGTTTCGCACGAGGTCGGCCGGGCAAACCAAGCAGGGGTTACTGCGAGGGCTACGGTCAATCCGTATAGCAAGGCCGCGCGAGAAGGATGTAAGGACATTGGTCGCCGATTGCGAAGCTGTTCGAGCGGGGCGCGGCCAACGAAAGTGGCCAAGGATGGACCGAGGAGGCACGGATGCAAGGGTACCCTTAGGAAGGTTGCCCACCCTTACTATGCGGGTTGACTGCAATTGCGCACGGAGCTGGCAAGCGAACGAGGCTGGCAAGCGAAAGTCGCTAAGGATGGGCCGAAAGGGCAAGGATGCAGGGGTATCCTTGCGAAGGTTGCCCGGCCTCACTGCCGGGCTTGCTGTAATTGCGCACGGAACGGCAAGGAGG